CAACGAAAATTTTTAGTGCGGAACGAATTAAGCTGCACAGGAAAATCATCGGAATTTAATCTGGGACTATGCGTGGGAGGGGGCAGATATATCCATTTCCTTCACAGTCTCAGCTAAGCCCCGACTAATAATCTACGGGTCCAAGTGAAACGTCCTGTGCCGATCTAATTAGCTTGGATAATGTGACTTAGAATGCAATAAAACCTGGGGCAGATCAGTAAATGGTATCTAAGAAAAAGTTTTTCTCCATAATGCGCTAGCAACGCTAAACCAACTGCAAATGTTAATACATAGATGATTTTAAGCCTTTCATCCTCATTCAATCTCCTATCACGGATATTCACTGTTTCTATCTCTAAAATTTCAATAGCCTTTAAATTCACTAGCTGGAGGGATACTTTGACATAGTTGTGGCCGGTGTGTGGGAGCATCCTGAAAGATGAAGATATACCAGAAAATTGAGTTTTTATTAAAGTTTTATGTGTAACTGCTTTCTACAGTACTTGTACCTGCAAAAAAAAAAAAGAAAAAAACGCATAGCTGCAACGATTCTTAAAATAACCAATTTTTCCAACTTTTATAAAGTTCCCAATTTTTCTTAAAATACCCAACTTTTTTCCTTAAAATACCCAATTTTTCTGTTGGGAAAGAGCAAGGAATGGAAATCACGCAACCGCCGCAATGCAAATAAAAATTAAACACCACTGAAAAGTCTCGAGCAGAGAAAAAATTACGGTAATGATGTATTTGCTGAAAGCTGCGTGTGAAGAATTGAATTTAAAATTTTCCCCTTTCTGCTCATCGTCAAATACCACTTGCTATTAAAAAAATGCAAAAATTTGTTAGAAAAAATTTATCTCGCATTCGTCGCTGCTTTACTTCAAGTGATTACCACTTTTTTAAAATAGCAGTGCAACGATGAAGCTACGTTAGGTTAAAAATGCCCCAGCTTTAAAAAAATGTAGTTCTTTATACTTTTTTTAAAAAATACAGTACTAAAAACAGAAACGTACTTTTAAAACGTGGCAAAGACGGCCGCTCTATTTAAATCATGATAAATTTTACTTCATTTTCAAACGCCGTAATTACACTTTTCGATTTCCGTAAAAACCTTACTCAAAAATATTCTGGCATTTTACCGCACTCCAAACGTGTTAAAATTAAAGCTTTTAAAAATGCTAAAGTTTCTGGGTTTCAGCAGAATGCAATAAAACTGATCCTGAATAAATCCTCATTTAGGGTGCCTAGATGAAGTACGATTTAATTCTGTTGCTTGCAAACACAAAATTATTTCATTTACAGAGATTTTTCACTAAATGAAATAATATTTGATTTGGTGTCTCACCGTGTTTTATAGTTGAAACTTTTAAAACGAGATAATAATACTCAGAACAAATCGGTAGCATCCCAAAGTAGCCAGAGCTTTGCCCCTTCTATCGCAGAGTGCGCTAAGCTGGTTCATTCCCGTTAGAAAACGAAATCAACGTCAGGATTACTGGCAGATTGTCCACTAGGCGATGCAGCAATGGTCAAAGCAGCCGGAAAAGTTGTGGAAGGACACATATTTGGAAAAGTACACTATGAATTGCTGCTGCTTGAATTACTGAAATAAAATATGTATTGGACAATGCTTTCGTATTTTCAAAAGCATTGATCTGTATGAATTGTACATTTGGGGCTATAAAAATTCGTAAGAGATGAAGCAGGTGGTTGTGGAAAAAACTTATGGTACGTGCTATGCCCAGCTGTAAGCCGGCATTTTTTTAATGCTCCACGGGATGGTATGCTTGCGGAACAATTTTTTTATAAGAACAAGGATGGAAAGCATAAACGCGCGGCTGGCGATGCTATCGCTGCTTCAGTCGGGCATCACATATGCATTGCTGATGGCCGGTTCCACACCAATCGGTGGTTCAAATCGTTACATTTTTGCTGTCCAATCGGTGGTTCAAATCGTTACACTTTGTTGTTAAAACTCACGATTAAATGCCTTTCAGCACACCTGCTTTAGGGAATTAAGCCTAAGACTACAAACCAAAGCCCTGAGATGTGTAGGTACATGTCCGACGCAGCTATGCCAAGTTCCCTTACCTTAAGATGCTTAGTTTCTGCCCGCTGCATACCCAGATCCAAACTAAACGTTATTTTTAACTCAAGCCAAAAGCAGCTAGGAGCTTTAAAAAAATACAATGATCCGAGAAAATGTGATGCTCTCTGAACGCATTCCGATGATGAACAGATCCGATCAGTACTAATAAAAGAGTGATCGGTTTGCTGAGGAATGCTTCCTCCCCGCCCTTCCTGGTCCCGTTTTTCCTCCATCTCATGAAAATGCAGTTCAGCTTATCCTTTGTAATCCAGGGAAAAGAAATCGGAACAACAGATTAGTACTTGCGAAGACATTGTTATGCTCCACAGGATCCGGAAAAAAAGCATTCTATTAATGAACGAATTGTGCTGATAAAGGGTAATTAGCTGCTGATTCTTCCTCCTTTTTTCCTCTTCCCAGCCTCCTTTCCTCACCCCCATGTAACTCGAAGTGTGTAACCCGAGGAAAACAAACCGAGCCCATTAAGCTGCCAATCTAAATTTTCTAAAATTCGACTATACTGAAATAACGAACGCAAATTTGCGATAAAGCTTGTATGAGCAGTGGTATACTTTAAAAAATTCCCGGAAAAAATTCCGGAAAGGACTCCACTAGGTTAGGAAAAAGATGGAGTTCAACCTAAAAAAATCAACGTTCTGCAGAAGAATATGAAGTTTTGTTGTATTGGAGTAAAAAAAAGATCTTTATTTGCAGCAAGGAATGAAGACAAATAAGCGCAAAGGTTAAAAATTAGGAGGTAAAGAGCCACAATTCGAGGAATTCTGGAATTCATAAATTTGATACGTTCAGTCGAGCCGATAATTTTAATCCTATGTGCTGGTTCCAAAAAGATGGAACTTCGAAAATCCTAAAGGCAAGAAGAAGCATTTTAATGACTCATAAAAAAACACATGCTTAAAGACAGATGCAAAATTCTTTGGCTGTTAAAACGGCAATAATTAATCTTGCTGTAGGCTTTTGCTTCCGAGTCGTTTGATTGACAACTTTTCTTCTTCCTCAAGTAAATGTCCTTCCCGGTGATTTCCTCTCCCGACTTTTCTGCTCGCTCTTCTACTTGTGCTGGTTGCTTTGCTGATAATATTACCAGTTTTATTCAGCTGCTGATTATTTCTAGTCCACTAATAAAAGCACGAGATGAGGCTAAATCACTAATACAAGATCTGTGAAAAGATCGGATTGAGGGCTGTTAAAAGTGAGTCTTTAAAGCTTGCAGCATTGACGAATTCCCGTGTATTTCCCGCTGTAGACAACTCGGCACAGTAGCTGATGGGAATATGTGCGTCCTAATTTACCGAAATATTCTTGTTCATTTGATTTATTTGTAAATAAAATAGTAGAGCCAGAGGAACTGGGCTAAGCGTCATGTGCTAGAAGACATGTTAGTTTGCAGTCTGTGTTTCATCCCTTAGCTGTAAACATAAATCGAGCTTTACGAACGTGGCAGGAGTGGGAATTATCAGTACAGCCTTCTACCAGCCATGTGCTGAACATTTATATGGTTAACTTGCGAGAAATAAAATGTTAAAATTGTTTATGATATTTTCAATTTTGACATTGGTTCAATCAAATTATTTTCCAATTCGAATATTTTCCAGCCAATTTCTATTCCCCTCATAAAACTTTAACTCCTGCTGTTTTTGAGATATGATGGTGAGGCTAGATGTACAGGTGATACTATACTGTCTCCGGTGACAGAAGTCATTCTTGAGTGAGGGTATTTGCAAGAATGTTCTCACACGACTGGTGCTAGTGGCACTCGAGAGGAGTGCAGCTACA